CTCTCTCTCTCTCTCTCTCTCTCTCTCTCTCTCTCTCTCTCTCTCTCATATACACACTCACTGCGCAGTAATCACCATTTTAAACCAATAACCACAGCGCTCACGCTTTTACTTAATTATTCCCTATATTCCCAACAGATGAGGTGATAGGAGAGGAAGACAATTGAAGTGACTGAGCAGGGAAAGAGATGGGATCAAACACAAACCCTCCTCCACAATCCCTGGCCCCTATACTCCTCCAGTGCCCCCGAGTCATTTTCATATCTCATTATTTCACGCTGATCCGCAGACATGCTTCTGCTGTCTGGTGTTGGAAAAGACTCAAGTAATGTCGTAGCCGTCTTTTTCCTTAATCCTATCTGCTACGATGCACTACAATGTAATAATCTGCGCCTCGATCCTTTTCTTTCCTCTTCTTTAAAGAGAAGACAGTGAAGTATAAGTCATGAGTCTGGTATGAAGGAGGAGACCCAATCAGCGCTGCAGTATCCGCCCAGTTCAGTTCAATTACAGTCATCCCAGAAACCGCTGCAGTCGACTGAAGAAATACGGCAAAATGAAGAGTTGCTTCTGTGAGAGGACTTAGAAAAACTCATACATACTTTGCCATGTTTGTGGCTTTGGTGAAGGAAGATGACATCGCCATTCTTACTGCTGCCTAAAATGTTCTGACTGGTTCAGAAACAGACATTTTAGCACCTATTAGAATGACTGAAAATAAATTCAGCCATCTGAAACCAGTAGATTAGAAAATAAATAAATAAATGTGTCCAACTACAGTTTAAATTTCTTATGTCTTCTGAATTTGCGTCCTGTTTTGGTTGTCGTGATAATTCACAATTCCATACATCGCTAGGTATAAGATTTTTATCCCTGCCAGCTGTGTTATAGTGGATTTTCCAGGACAGGACTCAGGATTTCACTCCTCTTGCTGTTAAGTCTCCCAATTGCAGAAATGTGGTCTAGGTTTAAATACCACACCTTGACTGCAGCTCCGAAGAGATGAAGCACACTTCATCCAATCATCGTGTACCTTTGGAATAAAAGACACTTCCAGACCTCAGAACCCCTGCGCCGCTGGTTTATTAATCTACTCAGCATTAGGCAAAAATCAAGTCGTGGATTTATAGACATTAAAGAGAGAGTAGGTGCTGAAGAAGAGCTAATACAGGACGGACTCCCTGGGAGTTTGGAGTAAGAAGTTAGCTACATTTTAGCGTCTTAGCCTTTAGCCTCAGGTCGAGGGCTCAGTGGGTACACTCAACAGAGGAAAGCTGAGCTGAAACTTGAAAGTCTGTTTGCCTTGTGGGACATCCAGTGTTGGAGCAAAGTCTCCACAGGGGCTTAAACCCATGAGTGCCTGAGATTATGCAGGACACAGAGAGTAGGGCACCAGCAAGAAGATGGTTTAAAGGTAAAGTGAACTTCTCCCTGATGAGACCACGGCTCTATGTTGTGCGTTTGGTGGGATCAGGCAGTAGCTAATGTAGTGCCTCCCACTAGAGGATAAACATTTAGCAACGTTAGCATGGTGGGAAGCCAATGAGGAATCTTCTTCCAAGGCCAAGAGAGCATTAGCTAGAGGAGGGAATGTAGTAAACGAAGAATTGGGTGATTGAAAGTGTAAAAATCTTTAAAAAACAACGACAACCAAACTAATTCTAAATAACATCTGGTTTTAACAGCACGAATCGCAGCTTCAGTATAAAAAAAATGCCTAAAACAGAATCTGAAAATACACATTCATTGATTTATATATATGCTCATATCTTAGGTAACGGATGCGCTACTCCATCCTCTATGTTTACGCAGCTCTCATCCATAATAAACTATAAAATCATAGAATTCCTTTAATGTAATCCAATGCATTGGTAACTAAATATTTAACTGGGAAAATTGCCACGACTGCTTGAAATCAGTGCCTTGCAAATATCAAATGTTCCCCTCATCACCTGGTTTGGTAAAACATGGCCACATATCGTTAAATATTGTCTGTGCCATGAGTCCAACATTAGAAAGCAAGCTTGTAAATCATGTGTTCTGGAGAGATTCTCAGGAATCTCTTCTAAATGACAACCAATCGTGTCTCCTCTCAAACAAACATACAAACGCACACTTACCGTCAAACAACTCTATTCTTTTATCCGTGGTCAGTTGGATCGTTATGGGAGGGATGTTGTAGCAGAAGTTAGTGATACAACTACATTGTCTCTGATCTTGGCATTATAACAGAGTAATATGGGTAAATTGAGGAGCCATGAGTTGTAAATGTAGTGTTTGGACGACAGCTTACCCAGTGGAAATGTTGGGGGGTGTTGTTGTGTCTGTTGACAGAACAGACCCAGAGCAAGAGCCCCAGCTCAGCTCTCATGACGCCGGAGAAGTGGCAGCACTATCACTGGCACACATGCTCTGAGCTCTTCCCAGTCATTTTGCACCCATGGGGACAAAAGCCCGATGTGGAGAGACAGAAAGGGAGGGGTGATAACCCTCAATGGGGGGGGAAGCAAGGTTTTTGGGGGTGTTGGAAAAGACTCATGGCGGGGATTAGTGCGGGTGCATGCATGCTGCGGGTGTGTGTAAGCTTGCATAGATGCAGGTGTGTGACTAAATCTGTGTTTGTATATGAATGCTCGTGTTCAGATGATCCTTGTATGCACACTCTTCCAGCAGGTGTGGATTGAGATGGGCTGATGTCAGGATTTTGAGGGAGGGGTGGTTTTTACGCTCCGCGCTTGGACGAAGGCGGATTAATTTCTTCCTTTTTTCTTTGGGAGGCAGCAGTCGACTAGGGGGACTGGGATTAAAAAGAGGTGAATTTTAAACTGAGACTTGTTTACAGAGTACGTTGCCACAGGGAGACGGATATACTCCACCTGTACACTGGGAAGAGATTAGGGAGGCATCCACAAATAAATAGGGTGGAAAGGATTGGGAGTGAGGAGAAGTTGAGGATGCACTGGTATGTTTGGGGGGAGGGGCGGGGGGATGTTTGAGACTCGGGATGTCTTTTAGTGTGTGAAACTGCATATGTGTGGAAGAGGGGAAATGCAAAGTTGTGCTGTGGATTGGCCTCTCGATCACAATTACTTCTGAAGTGACAGCATACACACAAACCTGTCACAATAAACACACACACACGCATTTAGTCACACACGTCAGTAGTGGATTCTAACAACGTGCACAGCCTTTGGACAAACACAACAGTCTGTTATCGTCATTCAGCCCTTAAGCAAACTGGACACCGGAGCGAATTTGTGTGTGTTTTCATACAGGTAATCAACCACACACACAAACACAAACACACACACACACACACACACTCTCTCTCTATCTATTAGCCTGTCAGAAGAGGCTGCTGCTAAGTCCAAGTAAAATGTTGATTCAGGGGAAGATCACACAGCAATTACCAGAGGATTCTCCTTCTAATCTCGCTGCTCTTGCCTTTGACTTAAATCTCTGCCTCAGATCATCAACACATCAACGCAATTGCATGCGGATGAGTGTCTGCTTGTGCACGTGTGCTTTTATGTGCCAAAACAACACCGGTAGGAACGAGCGCCGACCTGCGAGATTCTCCGAGAATAAAAGCACAGACTGATATTCAAATGCAGACAACGGCGTTCAACACCGTTAAATCTTTTGGCACGCAATATTGGAACACAGAGCCGTCTTTCACATGCTTGGATCATAATGTATGTGAAAAGTGAGACAGATTACTGCTTCAAATTGTGACTGACGCAGGTCATATACATAAATGCGAAACACAATGCAACGTTTAAGTGGCCATTTATTTCAGCCCAAACTAGTATTTGCCACAGGTATGAGGGAGTGAAAGGAAAGGAAAAATAGGCTGGGGTAAAGGAAAAAAGGGGGCATGAAAGGAGGCCTGGATGAATGGAGTGCGAGATTGGAAAATGAAGGAAGAGAAGGAGGGAGATGGACGCCGGCTCAGGATAGACTGTTTAATGCACAGTCCATATAGCCTCTTTATCTATCGCTCTCAGTCCCTCTCTTTCTCACTCCCTCATCCGCATGCAGGTCAGCTGCGAGCAAGTGAGGGGTGGAGAAGAAAAAAAAAAAAAAAGGCGATAGAAAAAGGCGACTGCAGCAGAGAGAGATAGAGCATCCTCCACTCGTCTGCCAATCAGTCTCTTCCGTCAAGCGTTGCAGCGCGCGCTGCTCGCTGCACGGTGTGCAGGGGCCCTTCCATTTAACTCGGCTATGTAAAAGGTTTTCTCAGAGGCCTAAAGGAGGCGAGTGCCAGGGACTAGATAAGGTCCCCCCGTCTGCCTGATGGGGCCCCGCCGGATGGAGGGAGACGGGGAGAGGGATGGAGGGGGGGGGGGTCAAGTCACAAAGAGTGTCTACTGAATACTGGAGGGAGAGAGACACAGGATGGGGATTAAAGGATGAGGGAGGAAGGAGAGTGTACGTGTGTACATTTCCTCCTTTTTGCCTTCCTGCATATGCAGTTTTCAGTTATTATGTATCCTCAATAACATCCATTGCATCTTACTTTCTTTGGTCATTTGTATTAGTCTGAGAGTTTCCTTCCTTTCTTTACTTCACTTGCACTTCAATCTGTAATTTCCCTCTCCCGCCTCTTGTCCTTTCCGTCCACTCCTAAAAGCATAATGCACTTTTTCCTGTCCTAAAAATCACACACCAATATCAACCTCGCTTCTCTCAAAGTCAAGCCACATTTATCAAACCGCTGTGCTTGTGGCTTTTTACAGGGCGCAAAAATATCAACCACACATTAGCGCTTAAATGGAAGGAACACAGGTCATAATTTCTTAAAAGCACCCAACGGTTCCTGGCTAAAGGACACAGTGATGAGAAAAGCACAGTACATTTGATTAGACAACGCTGTGTGCTCACAACACTGAGTCGTGACTCACATCTGCCTGCTGAAACTTTCAATTCATTTACATTTCGACATTGGTATGTGGGCTCCACATTTCCAAGAGTGTCTTGTTTCTCAACAAGATTTCACTCCCCAAGGAGAGTGAGCAATACGTCACGTCAAGACGAGTTGTGATATTCCCGATGTGTGAAGACTTCTTTTCAGTGAGAGCCTACAGGATGTTTGTATCTGGTTTGGGAGGTCTCCTGTTAAGCATGTCAACATGAGGGCTAAAAGGGCTCGCATCATGCTCTCTGAACCCCCCCCCCCCCCGACAAGAAAAAGAATGATTTGATCAAACGCCTAGGAAGGCAATGAATGCAATGCAACTAATGGACACACAAGAAAAAGCCTTTCCGATGAGTTCTGGGTATTTCCTTTTAATAATATACGTGTTTATGAGATATTCTTACCTTTTTCTCCAGTATTTCCAGCTGCTCTTTATAGAAGCTGGATATGCTGGCTAGTTCCTTCTCTTTGCTCCTCAGCTGTTTTGCCTGAGAAAGGGAGAAGAGAATAGAAGAAGAGAAGATAAATAAAAAACAGCTGTTGTAGAGGTTGTTTATATTGACACATGACACTTTACTGCACTAATATGAATTGTTTAGGCATGTGTGCAAATATGAAATTCTGACTGCCGGGCGAAAAAATGTCAGAAAGGAAAAATCAATCTAGGTAGTAATTAAAAAAAACATTTGACATACTGTAGGTAAGTGGCTAGATTTAGTGAAAGGAATGGCCAAAAACATCACATTCACTTCTTAGCTTACGAGGATGACACACACATGAGACACCAGCGGAGGTAAATGCTGAAGGGAGAAGAAATGACGCAACCTGTTGCTCTCACTGCACAACAGACTGAGAAAACATGAGAAATGAGGAAAATCGGTTGAATACACATCCCACCTATTAACTACAACTCAAAGTATCAATCAACTCTACTTTATGTTCTATTTAACGAACTTCATCAGCAGATGCACTACCACTTATGTAGATAACAGTACAGACATGTACCACATTTTTACCAAATGCAAGCTAAGCTGTTTTCTGTAGCAGAGAGCAAACACAACATAAATTAGTTTCTTCTAAAAACAGATTAATGGCACAGATGTTTGAGGAGGCCGCGGTAAAAAGGATCATATCCTTCCACAGAGTGTAGTTAAAGCATCAAATTGCAGGTTCATGTTTTTCAAAGCATTATAAATCTATGTGGAGCTTCACATATGTTACCTCATACACCCACTACTCTCTGGATATACTGTATCACATATCTATGATGCTCGATGGAAATATATAATAATATGTTAAGTACAACACACCTGCACCACAAAGTACAACACAATAAAAATGTCTGTTCAATAGCAGGTCCAGAACTTACAAAACTAATCAGGTGGCGTGTGACTGACACTGCGGAGGCAGGGCCTGACATGGCGATGCCGGCGTTAGGATGAAGCGAAAGGCTTTAACATGCCCGCTGAGCCAAGCTTTGAATGGCAGCAAGATGGCAGACTTGCTGTAGGAAGACCCACAGTTTTGGGCCGTGGAGCAGCAGCATGCAAGCAGAGGGAGATAGGAGGCGGACGTCAAAAAGATGCACTGTGAAGACAAGTTGCCAGCTTCAGAAAGTGTTTGCAATTTTCATTGAAAGATTCATTTTTTTGAGGAAGTAACATGAGTTACGCAATGTGGACACCTTGTTTTAACGACACGAGGCTTCACAGTGTGTCAATGTCATCGATCACTCGTTCTGATAAAAGTGGAATGAAAAGGAATTCCTTTATGGGGATTATTTATCAAAATCACACCATAAACAGAATTGGAAAAAGGGTAATAAGGAGCTATTGCAGGGCTGTAAAAAGAAAATAACACAGATATAGTCAAAGGAGATGGGCGTGATCGTATGTACGGTACTGCACATGTTAACTCTCAACAGAGATGACAAAGAAGCGAGATGGCTCACTTTTGAGCTTCTTCCATCATCAGTCAGAAATTGATGATGAATCTGCTTCTTTCTCACCTCTGTAGAGAGTCGCACAACGCTAATCAGTCAGGTGCTCGGGGAAAAGTGTAACGTTAGCCAGAGCTATGAAAATATCTGCATTTTGGCAATATTTTACACAATACAAATCCCACCATCTAAAAAGGCGAGGCGTTTGTACCACAATGGTATCTGAAAGGTATTCAGTATCGGCCCGATACGCAAGTCTAGGTATCAGAACATCTGGAGCTATGATCCTTCACCAGGCAATGAACTCAATGTCTTTTACTGTGCACTAATCCATCACTCCATCTCTTTCCAGATTATTCAATCCGAATATAACTTTCCTCTTGGAACATAAAAGCAATGCTCAAACATGTTGCATGGGCAGTCACAGAGTGATGGGGATATGAGGCAGTGTCTTTACATGAAAACATAATCTCAAATCTATTTTCCAGAGACATACCACATACTGTATATCTAAATCGACTCACTCAAAACTGAATTGAACTGATGCACAAAATTCCCGGCGGCTTGGTATCGGATCTTCGTGCATGCGTCGGAAGTTTGGTCATGCTGTGGAGAGTATGCAGCGGTTCAACAGCTGTACAATGGGAATCACATACGGGGGGCCAAATGCACAAAAGGATAGGCCACATGTGCATGGTGTACACAGGAAGGTTGAATTATCTCTATTGAAAGGATTATCAATAGTGACCACACACTGCTTCTGAATAAGGGTGATGAGTGAAACAGGGCTGCAGCAGTATGAACACTAAATGGTGCACCAACACAATGAAGCGGGCTGAGAGTGAGGCAGAAAAAGGCAGCAATGGGGCGGAGATTTATGTAGGATGGAAATAGTGTGTATTACACACACACACACACACACACACACACACATATAGTATGCCGTGTTATGCCATGGTGTAATGTTGACAGATTACTACACCCGAGTTGTGCATTAGTGAGTGTGATATAGATCAGATGGAGCAACGCCTTCTTCTTCTCTGCATGATCTACTCATCTTCTGTGCTCTCTGCTGCTATGGGGAATACAGGAGTGCAGACTCGCACAGTTACGCACGGACTGACATTACATTCATGGTGTTCCAATCTCATCTTATCCGAACTTAACAGGCACATGCATTCACAAAAAGCACATCTGCAAATCCTTATACTAGGCTCACTGCACGTTTTCTTTCTGCAGCCGGCTGTTTGATGCTTAAGGGCTGTGTGTGTGTGTGTGTGTGTGTGTGTGTGTGTGTGTGTGTG